AAAATCCTTCCAAACAATCATATCAAAGTAAGTATTTTATTGGACTAATAAAGAACTAAATTTGTTTCAGGAATTCTTTGTTTGTCCAAAGAAAATATTTCCCCAGTGTTTACACTGTAATCAACCACTTTAGTGCAAAGCCTCTGGAGGTACATTCCACATCCACATGGTGCAATAGGGTGCCCTGCAGAGAAGCCATGGGGTGCAGTGGAAAGCATGTGAGCTTTCAGATTGAGTGGACATGGACCGCTGTGCTTTGGAATGTTATGATCCATCAGAAAGACTTGTACCATAATTGTCATAACAGGGTTATTTATAATAGCCAAAAATTGGAAACAACCTGGGCTATTTATTTTTATCTTTATTTTTCTCATATTTTATTGTTATAGTTTGCTATAGGGTATGTGCACTTGCTGGAAAGAGATAGAGAAAGAAAGAGAAATGGGGGAAGTAAGAAATAATCCTCCAGGGAGATGGCCATACCACAATCCCTTTTCCTCTATTCTCTTCTTAGGATTTTTGGGTATGCACATATACACACACACCGTGTGTTTTCTAATCTGCCACTTTTCTAATCTGGGACTTGCAGTCAGCCATGTGAGATCCAGCCATCTTAAACACCACACCAACTGCTTGGCCCAAAGCCCCAGACTATCAATAATAGTCAAAAATCGGAACATAGGTAAACCCTGGTATATTCACCCTGGTAATACATTGAGCAGTCAGCAGAATGTACTACAAATATGCACAAGAATATGGGTGAATCTCAAAATTATGCTGACCTAAAGAAGCCTTAGGCTAGAGTGCATAGTCTATGACTCCATTACCTGAAGATCTGGAACAGGCATGTAGGTTATGTAGAACACTGGCTGCTTCCAGAGGCTGAGATGGAAATTTACTCAGAAGAGACAAAAAGGAACGTTATGTGATGAGGGCTATGTTGTGTGTCTTAACAGGTGTTTGGTCTATGTGTGTGTGTGTGTGTGTGTGTGTGTGTGTTTCTGAACACATCTAATGATGCCATTAGGATTGGTGCACCACATTCTATGTATTACTCACCACCAAGGAAAAAAATAATAACCTAAACAAATATTGGACTCTCATCAAAGATATGTATATTACTGTATTTCCACTTATTTTGAAATGCATAAAAACTAGAATCAATCAACAAATGGATGGATAGAGGCGTTCGTGTGTAAGTAGATAAGTGAGCAAGATAGTAAAATGTTGATGGTAGAATCTAGATTTTACTGTCTGACTCAGATGTTTTATAGAAAGACATTGGAAGGTAAATTTTACATCTTGGATATGTTTCAGAAGCTCGATTTCTATGACTGCAAAATGGACGTAATAGTACTTCCTTCAAGAAGTTGTGAAGTTTTAAGAATGATGGCCATTAAAACGGGCCTGGAATGCGGCAGATGTACCATTTCCTCTGATGCAACCCGCCTTCTCTTTCATCTCCTCTGCTCGGCTTTGTCAGTTTACAAGTCATGCTGAATGTTTCGGATCTGGTAGCATTGAACAGTGGTCTAAAACGGTATGTGGCAAAATCATTGGGGTTCTAGAGAAGAACCTACCTGTCTGCTGACTGCTGATCCTATATTTCTGGTGTGGAGAAATAGCTTATGGCAGTGGCTCAGATTCCAGGAGGAAGGATTGCCTGTGGTGGTACTTGCTCTCAGGGACTGGCCAAAGGAGAGAGGGACAAGTTAATCATCTTGTGGGTTTTGATCTTAAAAACTAAATAGTTATTTAGCTAAAAGCTCCATTTGTGAACACTCATTTATTTGGCAAATTTTAGGAAGTATCCATTGGATGCCTGCCTCCAATCATGGTGTACGAGATGGGTGAATGTACAAGAGAGACATGAGTGCTTGCCCTCGGGGAGTTACCTCCTAATAACTAAAGTTTACTGGATAACAGGGATCAGTCTGATGGCTAGAAAACATCTACTGTGTATTTACTCTGTAGTGGGCATTTGAAATGCCATAATAAATCAAAAGGACACGGTCTACACTCTCATAGAGCTTACAATCTAGTAGAAAAGGCAGATGTAACCAAATCACCGCATGCAACCAATAATATATTATCACTGCACAAAAACTGGGAAGTTCAAGTACAGGATCATGAAGGGCACTTAGGGAGAATATCCCCTCTAATCGGGGTGAAAAGAATCTGCCTCAAGCTTTCCTCTGAGTTAAGAGAATAAAGTGCACGCAGAATACAGACTGAGACAGCCAGTGGCCTACCTTAGCTCAGCAGTGGGACAAGCTGAAAAATTAGTGCAGCAGGAGAAGATGGGGTCGGTTGCATTGTTTGCTTACTTATTTTTACTTCTGGTTAGTTTATGCTTTAAGGTTCCCTGTACAGTTTGGGTATAGAAAGCAGAGTGAGAAGGCCAGCAGGTGGTATGGGGGTTAAGGTGCTAGATCACACAAGGTCAACTGCACATTCAAATCCTGAACCTGATGGCTTATAAAACATAGCAGACACATGTACATACCTGCCCAAAATCCCGAGAGGAGAATGGTGGGGAAGGGATTGTGACATGACCATACTCCCTGATGGTGATTTCTCACTCTCCCTCTCTCTGTCTCACTCCAGTAAGGGCCTACATCCTATGCAAAAATCTGAAGAAAAATAAAAAAGAAAGACAGAAAAAGGAAAAGAAAGCAGAGCGAGAATAGTTGAATTGCTTTTAATTATAGTAAAGTATTCTGAAGTTTAGTTTATCTCCTGGCTAGTCAAATGCAGTAGCATGTGCTCCAACACTTCCATGATGCCAAGAAGCTGTTAGAGATACCAGTCCCAGGATCACTAAACAAAGCAATTATACAACTGACCCAACTGCAGAACATTTCCCCCGTCCCCACCTTGCACTAAGGTCATTGCTTCTGAGCAGGAAGATGATAAAAGCCAAGAGAATCTGAAGTAAGAGGAACGGACAAGAAATAGGTGCTCCTAGGCAGAACTGTTGCTCCTACAATTGTAAAATATCCTGGGAACAAAAAAAAAAAAAAATGCATTTGCCTAATATAATCCTGTTACATATTCTTTAGCAGGGACAAGCTGATCTGTGGGATTCTGAATTTCCATTTCCCAGCACTATCAGTAAATGTGCAACAGGTGTGTAAGAAATGCTAGGGGATTGTGACAGGTTGGTTTCCTTATGCTACCTGATTCTCTAAAGGATAAAAAATGGAAACATCGAGTAATGAGCAAAGGAAATGAAATGTGTAATTTAGATCTTTGTTGATCTAATCAAAATGCCAAAAGTAAGCAAAGTTCTGCCTCTGCTGTATAAGCACGGATTTCAGATTTTTGCTTCCCCCTCCAGAGTAGTGATGAGGACTAAAAGTCATAGTTCATGGCATCTTCTTAAGTAGGGTTAAAAGAGGAGAAAGTCAATCAAATCAAAGGAGAACAAGACCAGGAAATTATAACATAGAAGAATATCACATTTATAACCTCAGTTCCACCATCGACCAGCTGCGAGGTGCAGCAGGTCACTCAGCCTCCCTTTCCTCTTCTGTAATGCCGGTACCTGTCTCACAAGTGTTTTTGAGAAAAATCATTTCAGTTCATGATGAAATCAAATTGTGCCAAAATCATGTGTACAATTTCTGGCTCATAATTAAGTGGTATGTAACTTTTAGGGTTTTTTTAATAAAGAATTATTTTTAATGTAACTTTAATTAATTAATTATTTTAATTTGACCAGAGAGGGACAGAATGAGAGAGAGAGGGGGGGTGGGGGGAGTTGAGAAAGCAAGTCACTAGGTCCAGGACTTAAACCGAAGTCAGCCAAGTGGGAGTCTAGCGCCCTTAACCACCACACCACCTGCAAGCCCTGTAACTTTTAGTTTTTACTTGGAAAGACTTTCTAAGTTGATCTCAATGTCCTCTATAAGGTTTTTCAATAAATACAGTTTGTTAAATATGTAATTGAAGGTAAAATGTCATAATTCTTAAAGACTTTTCTTTTCTTTTATTATGCCAGAGGACCTAAATGTGTGCATGAGAGAAAGAGAGAGAGAGAGAAGAGGAAAAAAAGCAATGAGGGCCAGTCAAATCCCAATCCTTTCTCTCCTAATTCTCCATCCCAGGATCCTGGGCACATATGCCTACCCAGCATATCAACCACTGGGGCCAGGGTTCAAACTCTGGTCAGCCATGTGGGATCACTGCACAGTGCTTAACTACTGTGCTATGGGGTTGGCCCTCTAAAACTTTTAATATAAATATATCCACAAATCAGAAATAAAAGTTTTCTTCTCATGCCCTGATTCTGTTTCAGATGATGTGGCTACCACACCTAAGGGGTCATTTAGTCTCATATCACAGAACTGGAAGCAGCTCCCCCCTACCCAGGTAAACATACAACCTGACAAAAGATTCAGAGTTAGTTTCTTTCTGAGGGCAAGTATGAATTTGGAAAAAGAAAAAAAGAATTACTTTGCTATAATCTCAAGATACGGAAGTTCCAAAGAATCTATGCATTCTGAGCTCCCATAGTCTTGGCCTTAGGCCTTGATTTGTCTCACTGGCCTTGAAGAAAAAGATATAAAAATGTGCCTAGACCGAAATCAGGTTGAAACAATGAAGATGTTTTATACTTATTTAAACTGGTAGATGCCACACTTTGGGAAAACCGTGTTGAAAAACTGACACATTTTTCCCGTTCTGATATGTCTTTGCATGAATTTTTCCTCTTTCTGCAAGATTAACTGAGACCATCTGTGAGTATTCCGTCTCCACTCTCAGCTTGCATTTAAATTTGCTTGTTTCTTTTCTCTGCCTCTTCAAAGGTGCAGGAACACAAGAGCTACCCCTACTAAAGGCCAAACATTGTGTCTGAGCTCCTGTTCCCGTATTTTAACCCCTTGCTTCCAACTCTGCATTTAAAGGCAAAAACAATCCTCGGAGACTGGGCCCTCCCCCTGCCTGTGATAGGCTGCTTGGAATAGCAACAGCCTGTGTCACCGAAAAGGGCAAAGCCTTCGGAAATAGAAACAAAGTTGGTCACAAATCACATTGGCTTTGCCCGAAGTTTTCCCCCCACTCTTTTTTAGCATGCGACCATGGGGGAAGTGAGCACTCTGGTCGGCGTGGGAGGTCGGTGTGGTTGGGTGGCGAGGACGAGGCTGTAACTGCTCGGTGACCATGGTACCTGTTGAAAACACAGAGGGCCCCAATCTGTTGAAGCTGAAGGGGAGCACGACGGAGACCCAGGGCAGCTGCGGAGCCAGCGGCGACCGGCGTCCTCCCTGGGCCAGAGGTAAAGTGAGAGTGCTGGGCCCGGGTGACCGGCTGGAGGAGCTAGCCGTGCTGTGCCTCTCGTGTGTGTGTGTGTGTGTGTGTGTGTGTGTGTGTCCGCGCGTGCGCGCATGTGAATGCGCTGGATGCGTGGAGAGAAGGGGACTGGGCTGGAGGGATGTGGAGTGATGGCCCGAAGTCTTGGGACCTTAAATGCAAAGAAAATAGTACGCACCCGCCACTGGGATGATGAGCCCCGTTGATTGCATTTGCAGAATACGGTGTGTGTGTGTGTGTGTGTGTGTGTGTGTGTGTGTACATATGTGTGTGTATGTATACATATATTTTCATTTTGGAAAGGTTGACAGCAAGATAGTCCCACTTGGGAGCACACACGCACACTTTTTCATTTGTCATAAATGGCAATTTGTAACAAGTGGAACATTGAAGCCACCATTTTAGAGCAGTATTTTAATAAACAGGCTTTATGAAATTATGTAATCAATGAAAATAACTTTCTTTTTGAATTCCCAGCATCTCTGTGTTATGAATGTAAGTGTTAAACAGAGCCTGAAAGCTTTCTGCCTCACTTACTCCTGAGTTTTTCAAACTGAGCTCTGTTTAGTCTTTTTTTCCTCTCAGAGGTGACATTTGGAAAACTTTTCATTCATTTCAGTTATTCTTGCTAACTCAAATGCTTGTTTTTAGTCCCACATTTACAGTTTCCCCAAATGCCTTGCACACTTTGTGCTGCCTCCAATTCATTTAGTTTATTCTAAAAAAAAAAAAAAAAAAAAGAAGAAGAAAAGAAACTACTTGTAATATGAAATGAAATCAGGACAGTCCTCGGTCCTCTTCTTCCACTACTTTCCTCAAGCCTGCTCTTCCTAATCGTGTGTTAAGACCCAAGCTACATATTAGAATGCCATGGGAAATCCAGCACTTTAAATGATACAAAAGGGCATGTGCCTTTCACCTTGGAACAAATCTGTACATGGACGTCTACATTGTGGGCTTTCCGGACCTCGGAACTGAACCCACAACCCCTCACACAGAGGCGTGAAGCAACACCTTCTACTGTCATTCTTCCAGGTCAGCCTTGCTTCCCTTGCTGGTCAAGAACGAATATATGGTGTCATCTTTCAATCCAACCACAAGCTCTCTTATGCAGAGCTGCACCTTCCTTTAGAGTTTGCTGGCTGGCTCACAAGTTCCCTAAGAGTGGGCAGGGAAACTTGGATCCGGGGTAAAGTCACAGAATTGCAAAATTCTTTTCTCTGAATTCCTGAGAACCTGCGCTAGGATGGAGACTGCAGAGCAAGTCGAGGTGGTGTTGCCACCAAAAGGCTAAGTAGAGTCAGCGATAATGTCACAAAGATGAAAAGAAATTGTGCAGAAGGGGGGCCTTTGTAGTAACCATTAGAAAAAGCTGTGATATGACTTTGAAAGCACAGTGTCCTCTTAACGGCTTACGGTGTGTACGTTCACAGTTAATCAGGAAACAGTTAACCTATGTTTGTAAAAGTTGAACACATGCACATAATTCCACTGAAAGTACAGTTCTTTACATTGTTGTAGAGAAATAATAAATGAATCAATGCCATAGATTATCTTTCAAATTAAATTTAAAATGAACCTGAGGCCAGTGGGTAGCGTGGTAATTAAGGATGCTGGACTCCCACATGCTGACTGTGGTTTGAGTCCTGGACCTGGCGCCTTGCTGTCTCACTTTCCCTCTCTCTCTCTCTTACTCTGTCTCTCTCTGGCCAAATTAAAAATAAATAAATAAAGTTAAATGAAATAATTCTTTAAAAAATTTTTAAATGAACCTGTATTATATAGAAGAGAAAGCCTGAATATTTCCCTAAAATCTTAAATGAATACACTTTGACATGTGCTATATATAGTTTACACTTATTCATTATTTTATTTATTATTATTATTATTATTATTTAATTTACTTTAGGGCACATGTGCTCACCAGAGACAGAGGGAGTGAGAGTCAGAGAAAGTGAGAAAATAAGCCACCAGGTCCGGGACTTGAACCACAATCAGCTATATGGGAGTCCAGTGCTCTCAACTGCCATCCCACCTACTGACCCCACAAGCTTTTTGTTATTACTTTTGTCCATTTTCCTAACTTGTCTTAAACATTTCTCATATCCATATCCATACATATGTATGCATAAAAAAATGCATAATATAGACTTGCATATGGTTTCGACAAGTTATTCAACACCTCCATTCATTAGTACTGAGATTGTATCTTAGTATATTTTATGAAGATGCTGAAGTTTAATGATATAATGTGTGTCAAATACTCCTTTGGGGGTTTTTATATTTTGGTTTCTTCTGTCTGGGAAATTCAGATTACTTAACATGTGCTCAGTAATTTTCATATTATTTTTGCATTTGAAGGTAGCAAGCTTTTCTATATTCCTAGATGATGAGTCAGAGTAAAAAGAGGAATGAGTTATGTAACTGAGGACACAGTAAGTAAATCATATGAGATCCTGGGGAAGGAAAAAAACAACCTAAACTTTGCAACTGAATCTCCCTTAATGTTGGTGCACACAATGCAAAATTTTTGCAAGTCTTCCTGAGCCATCCTCTCTAACTGAAAAGAATGCTTTATTCCAGTGACTAGAAGTTAATGAACTTTATTCATTTTCAAAGTGAGTACATTTTGAGTCACTCAAGTGACTCAAAGTGAATACATTTTTAGTAAAGTTTTCAGTGTTCAGGGATGTATTGTAATTACCATAGAGGGTAGGGGTGAGTTCAGCTTGAGATCCTGGTGCCTAGAGGCCACCACAAAAACAGGTGATGTGAGAAACCATCCTGCTGGATCATCACACACAGCGGAAGGTGACTCCAGAAGACAGCTTGACTCAAGGTCGTGCAGACAGTGCTGCAGAACTGACCTGGGCGGCCCCAGATCTAGATAGAGAGAGGTCTGCTCCATCATCTTCACTTTCAGGCTTTCCTTATTTCATGATCCAAATCATTCCTTAGCGGAGGACTTCCCTTAGGCATTCCTTTACCCCCACCACCCCACCAACACTGCCTTTCCCTCTCCCTTCTGTCTAAAAACTAGAAACCAAGAACAGAACGGGTTGTATGAGTGCACGTTTTCAGCACTGCAGACCCAGCTGCCAAATGTCCTGGAACCCAGCACACTGAGAACTGGACTCATCATCCCCACTGAAGTTGCCACACTCTGGGATCTAAGAAATGCACTTCTGGGATGAGCAGATGGTGTCATGGTTACTTACTTGACTCCCCTGTTAGTTAACCATGGTTCAAGTCCTGAATCCGGTGACCTAAAACTCAGCCCAGATGCATGTACATACGTGCATGCTCAAAATCCAAAGAGGAGAATGGAGAAGGGATTGCAGTGTGGCCATCCCCTCGGAGAGGGCGATTTCTTGCTTTCTGTCTCTCTGTCTCTCTCTGTCTCTCTGGTGAGAGAAAGTCTCCCTAAAAAAAAAAAAGAAAGAAAGAAAAAAAGAAAGAAGAAAGAAAGAAAGAAAGAAAGAAAGAAAGAAAGGAAGGAAGGAAGGAAGGAAGGAAAGGAAGAAGAAAGAAAAGGAGAAAGAAAGAAATGCACTTCTGCTGATTAGGTGAGCACCCTAAGGCAGTTATTCCCAAACATTTCTAAAGCTGTGAGCTTCTTCTTGCAAATGGAGACTGAGCAGTGACAGTCTGTAAGATGTAGCAGTAGACTTCTCTTCCTGAGTGTAGTTCTATCAGGTTTAGCCTAAACTGGGCTCCCTTGAGATGAGTCAGGTCTGGTTTTTGCAGGCTTCCTTAGGTAGCCCCAAGAAAGAGAGACTGTGAAGATTTATGGGAACAAACTCATTCTCAGGGAAGGGCAAGTCAAAACAGCCAACTTGATCTGCCACAGAGCTTTGGTTATGACAAGAGGGATTCTAACAACAGGCCAGTTACCTTGCACCAACCCAGGCTTGAAGCCACTTTGTGAAATAGTGAACTGTTGCTATTTTTCCAGGCTTTTTACATGTCAAAAAGTCAACTACTGGACCACCCAGGTAGTGTGGTGGTTAAGGGAGCTGGATCCCACATGGTTGACTGTGCAGTTCAAGTTCCAGACCCAGCAGCTTGAAAAATATGTTGACTGTATAGATGTGCATGCCCAAAATCCCAAGAGAAGAATAGAAAAGGGATTGTGGTGTGGCCATCGCTACTGGGAAGTGCTTTCTTACTTTCTCTCCCTAATTCTCTCTCTCTCTCTGGCAAACACAAACAATGTATAACAAAATTTAAAAAATAAAAAAAGATAACACGTAAAAAAGTCAAAAGTCAAGTGCCAAAACCTGTGACACAATTATTATGCTTTAAAAACACATGTATTTAACAAAGTAATGGTTCATAACACTAACAGATTGTTGTATATACTTTGATATTCCCAGGGAAATGACAGAATTTGTATAACTTATATAATTATAAATATTTATACAATTTATATAATTACTTTACATAATTATTTGTATATTTATCGAATTATTTGTGTAATTATGTTAATTTATGAAGGACTATAGGCTCTTTTATCTGGTCCTGAAGCCAGATTTAAAGATAACCATCTCCCTTTTCAGTGCAGCCTGTATATCTCTGTGACTACACATTTAAAAAATTTTCCCAGAGGGTACATGCATTTGCAGAAGAGAAACAGAGGTAGTGGGGGTGGTGAGAAAGCACGCCCCTGGGGAATGATCACACTATAATCCTTTCTCCATTTCTCCCTCCTTTTGTGATTTTCTTTTAAATGAGATCTTATTTCTAAATTTAATTATTTTATTCTTTACTGCCAGAGGGCTAATGTGCTCTCTAGAGAGAGAGAGAGAGAGAGAGAGAGCACCCCCCATGGGGCATGGTCATGGTGCAGTCCTCTTTTCTTCCATTTCTCCATCCTGCCAGTTTTCTGGACATGCACACACAAATATCCAGCTTGTTTTTCAAGCTGCCTGGCCGAGATTCAAACTGCCATCAGCCATGTAGGGT